AACTCTTTTCATCCCAAAATGTTTTACTCATTTTGATCAACATGCAAAACCTCATGACTTTTGAAATAATTTTATTTACAAATTTGTAAAAATAAAAAATTATATTTAAAAAATTTACATAAAAAACTCTATAAAACAAGAGCTGATAAGAATATTTTATTTTATCAACTGATCAATGAAAACACGTAAACAAATACGAGTTATCGAGATGTCATAATAGTAAATGAGTAATGTTTTTGGGACGGAGGGTGTAACTAACAAATATTTTTTGTTCCAATAACCATTATAATACATAAAATATAAAAGTTCTTGAATTGTATTTATCCATGTAAATGTAAAACAAAAGTACTCCCTCCGTCTGGAAAAGAACTTCTCATTCTACGTTTAATTTTTCTCTGTCCATAAAAGAACTTTCCATTATACGTTTTCATACACAATCTTCCTAAAATACCTCTTCCTTAAATAACGTTATGTAATTAAAAAATATAAAATAAAATGTTTCTAATTAAAATAAAATAAATCAAACAACTCTTCTTATGGTAAAAAAATCACATTCACATCGGGAAAAAATGTTATACGGAGTATTTATGCAATATATCATTGCAAAATAAATTCACATTAATTTTTGTTTAGCTATATTCTAGCATGCTAGTTATTAATAGCAAGTTGTTTTCATTTTTTAACAAGCTAGCCAAATTTTGAATAACCCCTTGGAGCATGAAATTTTGTATATGTATGTCAAATTATAACATATAGCAAGCCATTTTGCTATGATTGGAGATGCTCTTACATATGGAATCCTCCAAGTAGATTATATTATTCCATTTCCCGGTCTTTAATTTGAGCTTAATCTGGCCCTACACGTGTAGTTTTGTTTGATTTATCTCATTCGAGTGTTTTTTCTTACCAAAACCCTTTGACATCGTATCATCTTTAAAAAGTTTCTCTTCCTCTTATCTAATGAGATTGGTTTAAGTTAAGGGTGTAAACGGATTTTAATCGGATCGGATGTGCCATTACCAAATCCGCATCCGTTTATTTTTGTCGGATATCGAATTCGGATACGGATCTAGACGGATATTGAAAAATTAAAACCGTATCCGCATCCGTCGGATATCGGTCGGATATCGGATATATCCGTATCCGTTTCCAATTTTTAAAACTAAATTAAACAATACTTGAACTTTCAATTAAACTAAATTAAAATATTATTAAATCAACTATAATTTTTATGGGATATTAATTTTCTTATTTTTTATAGTTTATGATATTTTACGATGACTTCATATCATAAAATGATATACACAGTACATATATACACATACTTTTATGTGTTTACACATACATTTTGCATATAAAAATGTCTTATACTTTGAGATATCTATAGAGAAACAAAATATAAAAATAAAAAATTAGGAAAGACTATATATAACGGATCGGATATACGGATAAACGGTTATTTAAACGGATGTCAATGCGGAGCGGATTATAAACGGATCGGATGTATGATTACCAAATCCGTATCCGTTTAGCAATCGGATATCCTTAATTGGATACGGATAATAACCGCTTTTAACGGATGCGGATATTTTCCATATAAACGGATACGGATGCGGACGGTAATCGAATTTTCGGTTATCCGTTTACAGCCCTAGTTTAAGTATAACTACTATTTTAACCCGTGTAATGTACGGGATGATATGAAATTATTTGTGATTCTACTATGCAGAGTATTAAAATGACTTAGATTTTTTAATGAGACATATCATTTAAATTTTAAATATAAATGATCTAGATTTATTGAATTTATACAAACCTATATTTTCCCCGTATAAATTTAAAAAATACAAAAAACATTAGTGATACTATGAATCTTTTCCCCAACACAGATTTTAAAAAGCTTGAATTACTGATCTTATGATTCTACAATTTAAAAAACATAATTTTTTTCCCCACATTAATAGAGATTAGCAAAAAAATGTTTTTCTCCACCCTCGCATTGAATACGAAAATTGCTTATAAGTAAAAAAAGTCAATAAGCATCAGCACAAAAAAACACTTACTAAATATTGCTCTACGTGGAAGAACCATGATATCAAGAGATATCAAAACTAAATTTTGTTTGAAGTTCAGTAACGCTCCGTTTGGAACACGAAATTCAAATTGAAGACAACAATTATAATTTTAGTATTTGGTAGCACAAAAATATGTGAATTTAGAATTGGTAGTGCCAAAAATGAAATGAAATTGAAGAATTCAATTCCATCAAACCAATTTTATAGTTTTAATTCAATTCTCAATCCATCAGTTACGTGTGCCAAACGTACCCTAAACATTCAAGGATAGGCAGCGGAATATAAAAATTTTAACATCCTAACATGATTATCTTGCCCAGAATCACGTACTAAAACATATACTAGTAAGAAATTTATACCTTTCTCCGTAAGTGGTAAAAACGAAGAAGTCGTAGGAAGAGCGTTGAAAGTGCAAACGTAACCGTTCAAGCGTCTGGTCTCCAACTTTGACACACGAACAACGCCGAAGTCTACCACAATCTTTATGCTAGTAAAGATTATAGTAGTATAAAATATAAAGATTAAAAATGGGATAATAATAATCTTGTATATTTCTTATAGAAAATATTTCTAATAATATTTAGAGAATATTATAGATATTTTCTATACACAAAATGATATAAATAGAACCAAACTAATATTTTTCTCTCACTAGAAAACCTATGGCCGAATATTATGATTCACAAATTGATAATCTTCACACCCTTTTATCTCAATTGTACCGTGGATCAAAAAGAAAACAAAACATTACAAAGTGATTAGTCAAACTTTTGTCATTAAACTAAAGTTAAAAATTGAACTATTAATCAAAGACTAATTTTGATCCTTTAAATCCTTATGGGCGAAGAAGATGATATGGGAAGGATTTTCAAAATTCTTCTCCACTTAAATGTTCAAAGTGTATTTTATTTGACATCAAAAATTAATGTAAAATTAATTTTATATCAAATGAAAATACCAATATCGTTTTAAACAAGTATACAAATATACTTTAAATAGTTTATGTCAAAATAATTATTTTCATAATTAAAATGAAAAACCAAAATAAAATATTCAACATATAATATATTTATATATATATATATATATATATATATATTTCGGTGTTCTCATATATATATATATATATATATATATATATATATATATATATATATATATAAACTGTATATATATATATAAACTGTATATATAATATATATTATACTCCAGAATATTTTATTTTACTATTTTACAAATATACAAATTACTTATTATCCCATTTTTAATCTTACTCCTTAAATTGTCCAAAGTGTGTGACTCGTATAGGCACTTATAAAAGTGGCCACAGTATTGGCTCTGCACCAATACTATAAGCAATAAGCGGTATCTAGCAACACATTATTGCCCCCAGATTATAAGTTAAGACGTTTGCACAATCAAAACCTTTCCACGACTCAAACTCCGTGTGGCTATATCCCTTTGTCTCAATGTCTAAACTTAATGCAAGGGATTAATAAAATCAACCTGTATCCATTCAGTCATTCACTGATTTAACAAGTCTGACTGATAGGAACAGACGTCATAAAAACATCTCAGCATGGCCATGCAATTTCCTCAATCATAACTTATCAGTAGGCCCCATAAGACATTAATCTCTTTTAAAAAGAGTAGTGACAAATCCTATGTACATAATCTACATTTCTAAATACGTGCTGCGGCATACCCAAAACAAAGCATGTATACCATCCTTATTTCATATGACTTAGGACAATGCATCAAAGTATGCGGGTTCACATATGCAAAAAACGTAATACTTCAAGTCGAAGGATAGTTACACCCGTGGTCGCGCTAGAGATGCTTAGAGCATGAACTAAAAGTTCAAGCAACATCTTTAGGATGGGTCAGTCCGGCATCCTATTATCTCCAGATAATATCTGCCCATGTGCGGATGCGAACACACCGTCATTGACTATGAGACTAAGTCAAACATCCAACACACACTAGTCTCACATGCATTAACGATATCCCACTCTCGTTAATACTCGACTATGGACATTCAGATAAATATTTATTTCAAGATGTTAGTCTCATCAGCAGAATAACACTATTTCATAAACATCTTTAAATATAAATCTAGGAATATAATATTTGTTTACATTAGCATGAGATGTGTAAACATATTATATCTGCCTATACATGATAGAATAGTGATAAAACGTTTGCCATCAGGGCACAACTCCAACAATCTCCCACTAGAACTATGGCCAATCTGGCATCATTCAAATGCCCATGGACCTAGTGTGACCCTCATGCTTTAGCTTTCCTAAAGGCTTGGTCAAGGGATCGGCTATGTTGTCGTCAATATCTACTTTGCAAATCATCTCATCTCCTCTGTCTATGATTTCTCGTATGATGTGATAGCGTCGTACAATATGTTTGGTTTCCTGGTGAGATCGCGATTCCTTTGCCTGTGCAATGGCCCCAGTGTTGTCGCAAAACAACGAGATAGGGTCATTAATACTAGGAACCACTCCAAGTTCAGTAATGAACTTCTTGATTCAAACAGCTTCTTTAGCTGCCTCGGCAGCAGCTATGTACTTAGCCTCTGTAGTCGAATTGGCGGTTGTATACTCCTTGAAGCTCTTCGAGCTAAAAGCTCCGCCATTCAGGCAAAACAAATATCCTGCTTGTGATTTTGAATCGTCTCTGTCGGTTTGGAAGCTAGCATCAGTGTAACCGACCACCTTTAGCTCTTCCTCACCACCATATACCAGGAATGCATCCTTAGTATTGCGAAGATACTTGAGGATGTTCTTGACCGGTGTCCAGTGTGCTTCTCCTGGACTTCCCTGGTATCTGCTGATCACGCTTAAAGCAAATGAGACATCGGGTCTAGTACATATCATGGCGTACATGATGGATCCAATCGCAGAGGCATATGGAACCTTCATCATGAGTTCCTTCTGCTCGGGAGTAGAAGGACTCTGGCTCTTGGAAAGAACCGTGCCAGGTGTCATAGGTAAAGATCCTTTCTTTGAGTTAGACATGCTAAATCGATCAAGGATTTTATCTATATATGTACTTTGATTCAGACCTATTAACTTTCTTGATCTACTCGGTAGATTCTTATGCCAAGGACATAACTAGCATCCCCTAAGTCTTTCATGAAGAAGTTCTCGCTCAACCACGTCTTTACAGAAGTGAGAGCAGGAATATCGTTACCCATTAACAATATGTCATCGACATATAAGATTAGGAATACTATTACACTCCCACTGACCTTCTTGTATACACAAGATTCGTCAGAGTTCTTCTCGAAACCAAAACTGGAAATGGTTTCATCGAAACGTATGTACCAACTTTGAGATGCCTTTTTCAATCCGTAGATTGAAGGTTGCAGTTTACAAACTTTGGCAGACTGATCAGCAATTTGAAAACCGTCAGGCTGTGTCATGAAGACATCCTCTTTGAGGTTCCCGTTAAGGAAAGCCGTCTTGACGTCCATCTTCCAAATTTCATAATCATAATAGGCTGCAATCGCAAGCATTATCCGAATGGATTTCAGCATAAAAACTGGAGAAAAGGTTTCATCATAGCCAATTCCGTGGATTTGCCTATAACCTTTTGCTACCAATCGAGCTTTGAAGGTATGAACCTTCCCGTCTACGTCTGTCTTCTTTTTGAAGACCCACTTGCATCCAATGGGTTTTACCCCTTCCGGCACATCAACCATGGTCCAGACTTGGTTTGTGTACATAGACTCCATTTCAGATTTCATGGCTTCGAGCCATAGATCGAATTCGGGGCATGTAATTGCCTCGAGATAGATCTCTGGTTCGCCTTGATCTACCAACAAGACGTCACCTTCATCAGACATGAGAAATTCATATCTGACCAGAGGATTACGTATCTGGTCTGACCAACGTGGTATATCTTGAGCAGTTTGAGAATCAATTGCTTGATCTCTTTGCTCAGGTTCCAACACTATCGGGACTTCTTCTTGTGATTCTCGAATTTCTTCAAGGTCTACCTTTCTCCCACTAGTGATAGCAGAAAAAAACTCCTTCTTAAGGAAGGTTCCATTCCGAGCAACGAAAATTTTGTTATCGGATGGATGATAGAACTCATACCCTCTAGTTTCCTTGGGGTATCCCACAAAAAGTGCTTTAACAGATTTAGGCTACAACTTACTAGACGTCATGAGACGTTTTACATAAGCTTCACAGCCCCAAATCTTAAAGTACGAGAAACTCGGTTTTCTCCCACGCCATAGTTCGTATGGTGTGCTCTCGACAGCTTTAGATGGAACTCTGTTGAGTGTGTGCGCTGCTATTTTCAATGCATATCCCCAAAATGATTATGGAAATGTTGTCAGACTAATCATGCTCCAGACCATGTCTAGCATAGTTCGATTTCTCCTCTCAGACACTCCATTTAACTGAGGTGTCCTCGGAGGAGTGAGTTGGGATAAGATCTCATGCTCTTTCAGATAGTCATCGAACTCCAGGCTTAAGTATTCACCTCCTTGATCCGAGCGGAGGGTCTTAATACTTTTGCCTAATTGTTTTTCTACTTCGTTCTTGAATTCTTTGAGTTTGTCAAAGCATTTCGATTTGTGATTCATGAGATACACATATCCATATCTACTAAGGTCGTCAGTAAATGTAACGAAGTAAGAATAACCACCTCTAGCTACAGTGCTAATTGGACCACAGACATCGGAGTGTATGAGGCCCAATAAGTCACTCGCCCTTTCACCGTGACCGGTGAATGGACCATTTGTCATTTTACCAAGTAAACAAGATTTACATACATCATATGACTAGAAGTCAAATGAATCAAGTACACCGGAACGATGTAACTTAGATATGCGTTTCTCGTTAATGTGGCCCAAACGACAATGCCAAAGGTACGCGAGATTCAAATTGTTAGGTTTGTTTCTCTTAACATCTACGTTATATACTGCGGTATCCATGTCGAGGACATAGAGACCGTTGGTCATTTTTGCAGTTGCATAAAATATTTCATTTCTAATGTAACACCCGCCTTCCGCGGACCCGGTTCACCCGCGACCCGACGGACCGATAGGGTTACGTGGGCAGTCCGAGAACTGTCCGTTACAAAAACATTAATGATTATTTAATAAGAAAATGGTTGAGTTTTAATTAGGGAATAAATGCCAGGGAGTTACTCCCAAAACGTGTGTAATAAAAGTGCAGAGTAAATGCGGAAGTAAATAAATAAGTCCAGTCCAAATTTAATAACGACAAGGGTGGGTTCATGCCCAAATGATTAATCAAGTAAATGAAAATAAATATAAGCTCGCCCGTGCGCCGCCCATCTCCCCATCGTCACTGCTCTCTAGGGTTAGCACCCGCACCGTCATGTCTACCTGCGTGTAGCAAAAACAACTACACGCTCAGCAAAAGCTGAGGAGTGAATCTAACAAAAGAAAATTAAGTGATAACCCATATGGCTATACACATATTAATACCTGTACTTAACGTACGGGAAAACCACATGTTACAAACTGTTTAGTTTTCACCTGTTAGAGCTTTTACAAATGACAAGGTGATTGGAATATTCATGATGATGATATGACTTGATGCATTACTCTAACTATCAGGGACACCCCTGGCTTAGTCTCACTCGACAGGATCACCCTGCACTCCGGTCATCGTCCCCGAACGGTAACGAGCCGGGCACGACGAAGATGTCGCGAGTGGACTAGTAAAACCGAGTAGTAGCCGTAGCCTGACTACTATGTACGTACACAAGCCCAACATGATGAAACCCGTTGGTCTCCGAAGGTTCCTAGACGGGCCCACTGTAGTAGGCGCACAAAGTCCTCCCTACAGCGGTATGCACATGATGAAAACCTAGGACATGCGTCTAGTATGAACATGATGGATGCTTGATATTTTACCTTTGGTAAACGCCAAGAATATATCAATTATATAAAATTTAAAATAAATATTAACTTTTCATGCAAGAAAACGATCAGATTCTGGGTCAACGTGGTCAACGGGCTCGTTCTACAAACTGCCTTGAAGTCTGCCCGCAGAACGGTCGACCGTACCCTACCGGCGGTCGACCGTGGACTGCGTTGTGGGGAACTGGATGGCCGACGGTCCACCGTGGTCTTCCGTCATGGCCGGGGTCGACCGTCACGGTGGCGACCGTCGGATTGGCCATGGGAACGGTCCACCGTCCGTAGCGGCAGTCGACCGTCCCGGAGGCAGTCCGCTGTCCCTTGCTCCGTTTTGGTCCATTTTGCTAATTTAACGCCTAGATTCTTTTTAGAACAATAACACAACATTTATGAATATACTCCTAGTGATTCCTAGGCATATATTTATAGGTTTTACATAATGAACATTTAGTGGCTAACCTACGAACATGCATAGTTTCTACGTAGGTTGTGTACGATATTACTACGAATATAACGACATAGATTATAACTAAATGTTCTAGAATTAGAGGGGACAACTACTCACCTCTAATTGAAGGGGTTGACGGTACGAGGTGAGCGAATGGTGCTAACGAACGGACGAACGACGACTACGCTTCGCACGAACGGCCTAGCTCTTCTTCTCCTTCAACCTTGCACCCACCGGAGCTTCGCTAGAGGTCTTCCTTGGCTGCTGGACTGGCCGAAAATGAGAGAGGGAGAGAAGATGAATGGTGATGATGGAGCTTGATGATTGAATTCACAAATGGGAGTTACAAAAATGGTGAAGGGGAAAATGATTGGGAAGGGGAGTTTTAAAATGCAAAAATTGATGGTGAGTAATGAGGGAATTGATGGAGAGTTAAGGGGGATGCATGGGGTGGCGTATGGATTGAAATGTGGAGTTACATATTATAATTTTGCTCCGTTATATAAAATCAGACCTGAACGATACGCGTTTTTCCCCCGAGCGGGTCCGAATTGAGATCCGTTTGCATTTCTGGAATCAGACAGTCAAATCAAATTTAATGATGTGATCGAATAATTTTTCTAAGAACTTTTTATTCCCTAACTCCGGTCCGAAACAGTAATTAATTATTTAAAATAATCAATTCTATTAGACCGGGTTGTAGGGCGTTACATCTAAAGACAGAAAGAGTTTTGTCTTTTACAACAAACGAAAATCCTGCTTTGTCAAGGCAGGATACAGAAATGATGTTTCTGCTCATACTAGGTACAAACAGACAATTATTTAGCTGCAATACAAGACCACTAGGTAGAGATAAACTATAGGTTCCGACGGCTAATGCATTTACGAGTGTGCCATTGCCGACTTTTAGTTATATCTCTCCCTCCGTCAATTGTCTACGTTCATGCAGATCCTGCATAGAATTACAGATGTGAGAACAACATCCAGTATCCATCACCCAATAGGGGATATCAGACATATTGACTTCAATAACGAAGATACCTGAGGTTTGAGGTTTCTTTCCCTCTTTCCTCTCTGCTAGTAATTTTGCGTAGTTGCGCCTCCAGTGGCCCTTTTTGCCACAATAATAGCATATATCAGACTTCTTCTTAGCTCCTTCTTTGGGTTTCACCGAAGAGGAGTTGGACGCTGGCTTGGGTTTCTTAGAACCCTTGCGCTTGGTCCCGGCAGGCGAACGTGGCCCACTCTTCTTCGCAACAGTACTGCCCACTACCATCAGGACAGACTTACCCTAGCCCTTCCCTAGACTCTCCTCAGCAGTTGTGAGGAATTTCAGTAGCTCAGGCATAGTCATCTCTAGTTTGTTCATGAAAAAGTTTACTGCAGTTAGACTATACTCAGCTAGTAATGATCCCAAGATGAGATCAGTTGCCAGCATAGGGTGCAACGGGGCGTCTAGTTTTTCAAGAGTTTCGATCTGACCGATCATCTTGAGAACGTAGGGACCAACTAAGTTACCTGTTGCGAGCTTACTGGAAAACAGAGTCGTAGAGATTTTGAAACGCTCGTCTAGCCTGGCCTTGGTATATACCTTTCAAGCGAGTCATCATAGGATGAGCTTCCATGTCCTTGTGGAGCCTTTGGAGCTCCGGGGTCATGGTGGCTAGCATGAGACATCTCACGTACATCACGTGCATCATCTTCATACTTCCGGTACGAAGTAATTTCTGCAGCACGGGCGTTCGCTTCAGGAGCTTTGGGAGGCTCAGATGTTAGAACGTAGAGCTTTTTCTCGCATTCGCGAACAATCTTAAGATTCATCTCCCAATCAAGAAAGTTAGTTCCAGATAATTTTTCCTTTTCTAGAACATATCGCAGGTTGAAAGGGTTGTTGTTGTTTGCCATCTACAAAAAATTTGCAAAATAGGTTATCTATCATGTTTAATAATTAATTAGGCCTTTAATTAATTTTCTCCCACTATTTTTAACAAATCAATAACCCTTGATATTGATTCGGAGATTTCTAGCGAAACCTCTAGTGGGCCAAGATCCATATTTCATTATCTTGCGTTCCGCTTGGGCGTTACTCCACAAGACAACTATTTCGACAGGAACATAGTTCCAACTGATGAGCTGGGCTCTCAGCTCTTGGTCTGGTATTGGGCGAACAATATTACTATAACCGGACTAGGACACCTTTTCACCATTCTTGTAATTGGCTGAGGCACGTCTTACAAGCATACTACTTTGGTTAGGAACAGAGTTCCAATTAAATCATAAAGATCCAACTCCTGGCTGGATGAGTGAGTAAAATCATCCGACTTGTCATTGATGACCCCAACTTACTGCCTCTAAGTCGTCCATCCATTTGACCGAGACTCAGTTAAGTCTAACCCAACATGCGACAGCGACCACGCTCTGGCGGTTCCTGTAACCAGCTTAACATACACCGTACTATGCTCTACTGAGGCTGAGTACATGACAGTGCACATTAGCCGATTAGGTACCGGGCGTCAGA